CTGGGTGGGGCGGGGGGTGCCCGGTTGCTGCAAGTGTTAGTCAGGATATGGTAGGTTAATTGTAGTGCACACTTGATGAATAAATCAGTATACACAGCTGTCACCACCTAGTTTATGCATCTGAGTGGCACCCTACAGAAAATGTAACAACATGCAGCTACTGACAATTACCCAGTGGTTGAATATACACATGAATCAGTTCCAAGTGTTCCACTGAATGAATTTAAATTGTTGTAATTATGTAAATCTGGAAGATAGTTAAGCACAATAAAGTGAACTCACTCATACAAATAAGTGCCTAGTAATTATTAATCCTTATACATAGTACGTAACAACCAAATTAACACAGTCAAGTGATCAAGATGAGAGCTTGCAGTTTTTTAATTGAATATTAGTGCTACTAACTATTTCTATACAGAAGTTAAACTCTGTGTTTGTTTTTTTTGCTGCTCTTAATTTACTAAATCTAATTAATGTTGCACTTTCTATTAAAAAAATGGTAGTTTTAGTGCAACAAATGATAAATATTTTCGAAAACCAAAATGGACCTGGAAACTGGACTGTAGTCCTTGAAAAGATGCCTACCTTCCTTAACATCCACGGTTTTATAGACTGTCATTATCTTCTCTTTTTTTAGGATGTGGTTTCATTGCAAGACATTAAGTCCTCAACACTGGCATGTCTGTAAATGTGTGTGCTTAAAATAAAAACTCTCCACCACTCTGTGGGAATTGGTTGTCCCACCACAACTTCACACTTGGTTTTTTTTTTTAATTTTTTTGCCTCAAGGTTATTATAGGGATAAACTGACACTTGAGGTTAAACTATGGGTAAACTTAAAGCTGTGTTTTTTTCTTCATGTGTGTGAGCAACCAGATGATGGAAAATTCCAGAGCTTACAAACACAATTATTGGGCCACACTCCAAGTAAAAGAAAAATGACAAGACAGATTTACTAAAGACAGCAAAGCAAACTAATGGTCATCAGACTATAGCAGATAAATTCTCCAGCTCTCTCTCACCACATAGTTCTGTCTAACAGTTGCACAGCAGCTAATGAGAATGCTGGTCTCAACTAATAGCATAATCCTCACATCAATGCAGGGTTTTAATTGACTGCTTTTTGCCAGAGCAGCAAGAGCATAAATGCAAAAAGAGCTCCACCAGTCCTAGATATCTCTTTTCGTCTTCTAATTTCATCTTCACATTATTCTGTTGTCCCCGCTGTGCCAGAATGAAAACCAGCAATCACCAGATGTTACACATTTTACATTTCAATTCCCAGAACTGAAAAGAGATGAAATAATGTGAGAAAGCGCCTACCACCACAGACTCTCTTCATCGGGACAAAAAAATAAATAAAAAATAAAAAAACAAAAAAGCGTATTCAGTGAGACAGGTTCATTCATGTGGACCAAGTGGTGCTGTTCTAAATCTGTCTTCAGCTAGTGTAGAAGAATAAAAAAGGATCTCAACAGATTATTGGCATGCTCTGCATCTGTGCTGCACATACCAGCTGTCGAGAATCTTACAGAAAGACTGTCTCTAAGGTGCTGAATTATACTGACATAACTTCAGGGAAGACAGATACAGTATGTGAGTGCTTGCTTGTCTCCTCACACGTGTGGATGGCTGCATGTGTGTAGGTGTGTGTCAGGACTGTTACAATGCTCGGGACCAAATGGTTTATTGTCTATGCTGGAGGAGACAGTTTGGTTTAAAATGTCACTTTTGTCAGGAGAGATAAATAAGGATACAAATGTACTCGGGAGCGTGTGCTTTTCGTCTCATTTCTGAGCCGGAGGCCCGTCCATACGGTCTGCAAAGATTTACAGTATTACAGTGTTTTTCTTTTCTCTTGTTGCATAGCTCCAATTTTACACTGACAACCCAGGCTATCAGAAATCTCTTCAGTATATCTTGATTTTGTGTGACTGAGAATTGGTAGTTATGAACAATCGCTTTTAAGCAAAAAAAATTGAATGGGTCCTGAACATTGTCAATTACTTAAAACGTGTTACATTTTATCGGGGATGCTTATTAACCTTTTAGATCTTTTCAAGTAGAACATTTTAAGAAGTCTCAAAGATGTGCTGGTTTTATATGCTTCTCCATTATTGTCCCGAAAGAACTGAAGAGGGTATAAAATACAGGGAGAGTCTGTAGGAAAAAGTACTTTGTCTTGATCTGTAAACACTTTCCCGTTGAGCTTATGGGCTCCTGTCTATCTTTTAATAGAAGATTACCTGTTATATTAAAGTCCACGCTCATTGGCTAATGACACGTCAAATCACAAGTCACTAGCCAATGAGTTTTTGAATTCACAGTCAGACCTGCTTCCTCATCATGCCCATTTTTTGCAACCATGATAACAATGGCACAACAGTTCTTCTCAAGGTTTCAAAGCAGGACATTAGAAACCAGTGGATGACATCACAGTAGCTAAGTCCATCTTCCATGAGGTGGTGAGCTGTACCAAGCTTAGCACAATCCAAAACATCAGAACATGCTTATTCGTGAATATTTAAAGCATCCTATTTACTGTTATTTTCCTTATGGAATACTGTTGCAGTGTAATAATGTGATTACATTTATTGTCAGTGCTGAAAGGTGTGAACACTTTACATAGAAAGTTGACAATCCTTTCATACTTTGCTCTTTAGATTCATCTTACCTTCGCATTTTCTAACTTTGACTAAAAAGAGATACTGATCTCTCTTCAGCATCTTCCAACAAACGTGTGATTCATTTGGATTTGCAGAGAATAATGTTCTAACACCATAAAAAAATCAAAGAGTGTGTGTTTTGTTTGCCAGACAGCAAGTGAGAAAAGTTATGCTGTAGAAAATGTTTCTTCTCTGCAACAGTGCAAGAGATAAAGACTTTCAGTTACTTCAGTATCTTTTTGCCCTCAGGGTGATGTTCTTTTTTCCCACCTACCTGTCTGGGGAAAAAAGCAGTTTTGCAAGGTGATATCATACTTGCTATCAGTTCTCGAAAATTATATGTCACTCTAACTTAACCTGATACGTTTCTGCGGAGAAGATTGTCAGGAAGTACGAGTACTGTGGCTAGTGACAGTACATTAAATGTTGTTCCTGTACTCGGGAGGTTCTGCGTTTTCTGGAGGGGAGACAAGCAGTGCATAGATGAGAGGCTTTTTTTGCCAGTGATAGTGTCTGCAGGAGATGTTGCACCTTTTAATTGGGTGATTTCAAAGACATACTATGTGTGCATGTTTGTATTTGAAACTAAAACATCTTTACTCAGGCACATATGGAGTAATTGACATTTAGGTGTTTTTCAGTTTTGCAACAGAGGTTAATCCTGGGGCATTTACGCCAAGCATTGTCAGGAAGCAGTTGTCACTTGTCCGATACTGATACACGGGCAGTACAACAGTTCAAAGGTCAGTAATGAACTGGGATAATTAAGGGTTGTGCCACAAAATTTCCAGTTTTAACAATGTCCTCAGACACACTGACCTTGTGGCTGTCTAGCTTTAATGAGCAGAAGGGCCGAAATAAAAAAGCGAACAAAATCATTATGGAGAAAATGAAGTCCCTTCTTAAAATACTTTAGCTCATAGCTTCACAAGTATATGCCTCTCTCCCCCCCCCGCTCTATTTCCATCTCTCTTGTGGCCTTTCTGTGTCTACTTATTCTATCTCTTTCTGTCTGCTTTCTGTATGTGTACAGCTCTCAGGACTCCATGAACGGGTGATAAAGAAACATAGTGGATGGGAATTTTGATGGCATTGACCACTGACTCTGTCTGTGTGGATGTTTCCACCAATGGCAATGAGAGAGGCGTTATCTTTCAAGTGCAGGCATGTGTTTATGTCTGATATTGAAAGGTGTACGGTTGCTTTAAATGTTCAATTAACATTAAAACGTGTTTACGAGATAATGCCAAGCACAAAGAGGCAGACCACAAAAGGCTCCAAATTGCTCTGGGAGGACTCAGAAAGGCTAATTTTGTCTTAATGTTTGTGGTGGAAGAGACTGCTTACTATTCAGATTGGGCAGTATTGATTATTGGGGTAATCACAGTCTGGGGCAGACCTTCCCAAAGTGTGG